GATTTTCCCGTTAAGGTTCCTATATTCCACGTTCCTAAACGCATTTTGCTCTCTTGAACTCTACCCTTCTGTCCTAGCTTCTTCACCCTCCCCCGTCTAATAGGATCAAAGTACTTCTTTTGTGTGTCCCGGGTAAAGTTGATAGGAGCATATGCTCCCAAACAACTTTGAGTGGAGTCGTTCGAAAAGAAGTTTCTATGGCCCCCTTGCTCATTTAACACTGCATCCGGGTGCCGATGGAGATACAGCGACCCTTGCTCACTTATCACTGTGCTCGGGCCACACAGCGCGCCACTTACGGGTGACGCCCTAGCTTTAGCGCGATTTTGTTCTGGATTCATTTTCATAAGGATTCGACGTGATCATGGAGTGTCGGCTGTCGACTACCTGACGCCCTCCCCCTCCTCCTTTATCCAGGCTTGGAAAGAAGTGAAGAAGCAGTACAACGATGGAGAAAATTTTTGGAAGAAGCTTGCTTATGTTGGTAACCCAACAGCCACAGAAAGAATTCTATTTTAGATTTGCAGATTATTTTGGATTTTTTTAACTTTTAAATGTTAAATAAAAAGCTAACAGAGTTTGAGATTAGGTTAAGTTAGATGACATGTGTCAAAATATTAGCAATAAGACATACACACAAAAGGGGACAGCAGACTTGAAACCTTCATACAGGGATACAAAGTATTCCCATCTATATCTCAAATAAAAGATGACATAAATCAATATGATTTGGTTTGTTTACAGATGGCGGATTGGATTGGGACAAGGTCTTTTGTTCAACATTTTATGTATCGAGACTAGAAATTGAGAGTTTTTATCATTTTTTTTTCAGACATGTAAATGGCGTCCATTGAAAATTGGTGATTGTGGGGGCAAGTCAAACTTTAAGTGTGACTTGATCACTCTGAATCTCAAAATTTAAAGTACCGAAACCTATTTTCATGTCCATGCTATTGAATTATCAGAGAGACGAGTCGATGGCCCAACTCCAACAACATTGATATTGTTCCCAACTTGGTAATTACCACCTGCACAATCCGTCAGGTGTAGAGTTTTATCACAAAAGGTCTCGATTTTAGTTGAAATGGGATTAGGATATTTAAACTCTTCTTTTCTCATTGATACGGTGGATGTGAGGCATTTTAACACGCATTCTCACGTGGGACCCAATTAGTGGGTCACACATGGAAGATCCACACATCGACAACCACGTGAAGCGAAGGAGACTCACCCAACACAGGGGGCCAAGGGACCCACCATCATCGCATAGGGTCAAGGGGACCCATCCATCACGTGGCAGTACAGTACGGGCCATCTTCTTGGCTCTGATACCATGTTGAATTATTAGAGAGATGGGCCGAGGACCCAACTCCAACAACATCGATATTGTCCCCAACTTGGTAATTACTACCTGCACAATCCGTCAGGTGTGAGATTTTATCACAAAAAAAACATCGGTTTTAGTTGGAGTGAGGTTATGGTATTTAAACTCTTATTTTCTCATTGATATGATCGATGTGAGACATTTCAACACATGAACTTTTATGCTGATGGTTACTTTGTATCTAAGTAGGGAATGTTTATTTGATTTGTCATTTTACCTATTGGTTAAACTTTGATCACTTATCTTGGACAGATAAATCTGAGTTATTTACAATTGCACCATGGAGGTCACTTTATAGAAGCCTGTAATGGGACAATGACTTGTGTTGGGAAAATTTTTAGTTGTGACTGGAACACAGATGGTGCATCACGTGTTTTTATGTAAATGGTGAAAATTTTTAATTTTTAAATTATTAACTTTTTAACAGACATATTCAACCATTTACATGAATATATATGATATATCGTCTTGTGTGATGGTCACACTAAAAAATCTCTCATTGTGTTGGTGGTCATGTTGCTTGGTTTGACAATATGAACTGTGATTTAATGTCCAGGTGGGATATTGAGGATTGTGCGAAGAAAGTAGGGTCACTACTAGAAAAAGAGCTACAGGACACCGTTCTTTATATTCTATTCCCAAATCGTGCATATTTGAAGAAAGTTGTCACCGTGAAAAAACATTGGTGCATTTTACATTTTTTTACACTGAAAAACGGTGCCCAACAGATATTTGACAAATTTTTTTTGGAAATTATTAACTTTTACTGGTGTCTATATGGATTATGGAGCGTGCCCTGACAACTTTTATAGTCGAGTAAATTGTAGTAATGATCTATTAACTTTAATCAAATTGAAGCAATGATCATTCAACTAAAAATCCATTACTATTGGTCTTTCAACTTATCAAAATGTGTAGCTGTAGTCATTTTCATCAATTTTATCAAAATAAATTATGTTGAAATAACCATTTATATAATTATGGTCCCTCAACTCATCCAAATGTGTAATTATGATCATTTTCGTCAACTATGTCAAAATTTTTGGCAAAACGAGTTATGTTGAAATGATCATTGCTACAATTGGGTTAGAGTTAAGGGACTATTTCTTCAGTTGAATTAAAGTTGAGGGACCAATAGTAATGAATTTTTAGTAAATGAACTATAATTGCATATTTTGATGAATTTTTATAATCAAACCGATTTGATATTGTATAGAAAATTTGAATACAAAAGATGCTGTAGATGTAATTATTGATTCCATACTGATGAAACCAGGTCATTGTAAAACGCTCTCTCTAAATCCAATCCAACCATGTGGCTGTGAGTTTCTCAATTTTTTTATTATTATCAAAGTATGGACTGGAGCACAAAAGTAAAGTAATAAACAATATTTCACCTCCACTCCTTTTCATATCAGTTTCCGGATTCCTCTTCTCCTAAAAGCTTCTACAGTTTTTCTCCCAACACCTCAAGCGGTTGCATGGCGTCCTCTAGATCAGCAGCCTCTCATCCGCATGTCGTCAACAATATGCATGTAGTCCTCTGTGTTTTTGTCGCCCTCTGAGTTTTAAAGTTGTTGGGATGTGAAAGGCTGAGTCCACGAGAGATTTGTTTACTGGGTTCGTAAGTTGTTTGATGGGAGTTTGATTGACTCTTAAACCTGGTAAAAAGTTTCCTTGCTTCTCTCTGTCTCTTCTCTTGCTTTATATTTTTTTATTTTTTTATTTTTTTTATTTCTAATTTTTATTTTTGGTTGAAGTTTAAAACTTAGGCAAAAGACTGTTTACTACCCTCATATTTCGTGGTTTTCAACATTTAGTATATCAAGTTTTTTTCGTCCCAGAGTCATACCTAAAGTGTAAATTTTGGGACAGTCTCATACATCTGTTAGTCAAACTGTTAAGTTTTCCGTTAACTGATGACGTGGCGCCCATGTGGACAATGACTGGATGCCACGTGTCAATAAGGGTCCCACGTGGATTTAAAAATTACAAAAAATTACAAAATTGCAAAAAAAAATAAATAAAAAAAAAGCTGTTGTTGTCTACGCCCACCAAACCCTCTATACTCGACCCATCTCCCTCTCCTCCACCCTTTGCAAAAACCCTAACTCCCAAAATCTTTTGAGTTTTCAAAAAAATTGAGCAAACCGAGCATGAAATCCCTAATCCCCAAAATCTTTCCGACCCGTTTGAATTTGACTTCAATTTCATCAAACACATAATGAAAACACAAAAAGACTTCGATTTCGTCATACCAAAAAACTGATCAGTCAGGACTCGGACATTCATTTTCGTTTTGTTCCCCCCAAATTTTCTCAACAACCAAACAGTCCATTTCAAATTATAAACAACAAAAGCAGCAGAATCACAAAGATCAATACACAAAATTTGAAATTTCTTAGCTAATCCGTAACTCTGTTTGCGGGAAACAAAGCAGCTCTAAATCACTCGCCTTTGAGTTCGAAATGCATACCTCGATTTCTTAGAGATAACGACGCTTTCTCAAACGTCGTCTATGAGAAGGCCATCCCGGCAATGATCAACGAAAATCGGGAAATGCAGTGAAATTGGAAGCTGAAAGGACACCGTGACCTAGTTGGTGGCCAGACGACGGCAGATATGATGAAATTGCGGCAGAGAAAATGGCTTTTAGGGTTTTAGAGAGGCAGTGAGTGAGGTGAAGAATCTGGAATTTTAGAGAGAGAGAGAGAGGAGAAGGGGGTCTCTACAGCTTGAAAATGGCCTCAGCAAAGGCGTAGCGTTGGTGAATCGCCTCGTCGAGGAAGCCACAGCGCTCCCGGCATAAGGCGACGGCCAGAAGATCGTCGAGCTTGGAGCTCGTCCAGCCCATTGGGTTGGGTATGGAGGGACTATGAGAGGGATGGGTCGGGTTGGGAGGTGGTGGTGAGGGAAGAACGAGTGCGAGTGGGGAGAGGGACGGAGGGGGGAGACCAAGTCGCTCGGGGTGGGGAAGACAAAAGGGATCTGGAGAAGGATGGATATGCAGATGTGCATAAGGATTTAGGGATTTGGGTAGTGAGAGCGGAGAGTGAGAGCGAATGTGCAGAGGTACGTGTCACAGCAAATCGCTCGGGGTGGGGAAGACAAAGGGGATCTGGAGAAGGATGGATGTACAGAGGTGCAGAGGGATATGGGGATTTGGGGAATGAGAGAGAGCGGAGAGTGAGGGTGAGAGCGGATGTGCAGAGGTGCATAAGGAGAAGGGAAGCGGATCGGGGTGGGGAAGACAAAGGGAATCTGGGGATTTTTTTTTTATTTTTTTTATTTTTATACTTTTATTTAATTAAAATTTTAATTGTTTATTTATTTATTTATTTATTTTTAAATTTCCACGTGGATGACCCGTGGCGCCCAGTCATTGTCCACATGAGCGTCACGTCATCACTTAACGGGAGATTTAACAGTTTGACTAACGGATGTATGAGACTGTCTCAAAATTTAAACTTTAGGTATGACTCTGAGACGAAAAAAACTTCATGTACTAAATGTTGAAAACCACGAAATATGAGAGTAGTAAACAATCTTTTACCCTTAAAACTTTCTTTTAAAAGACTCATTTTCTCTAAAAAGTAATAATAAAAAGGGATATCAAATGAAAGGCTCTGGTAGTCTTGAAATACGTGTATTGTAGTTTCTCTATGTATATAAAACAAGAACAATTGATAATCTGTATCTTTGGAAACCAACCATAATTCTCAGTTCCCCTCCTCTCTCAGAGTGCTCTCTCCCTCTCGTCATCACGAGTAAGGCTAGATCTAATGATCTGATTTCAACGACGCCTCTGGCTACCAGATCTGGTACTGGCAACCATTTTTGCTTGGATCTCGCTCTCTCTCCCTCTCGAGCTAAGCAGACGCACCTCCATGGAAGAAGATGGATGCTCGACGTCAAAATGATGGATGTAAGTTGACTGTAGAGATCTGATTTCCTGCTGCCTCTCCACCTCGTTTTCATCATGATGTGCCCTAAACCTAATCTGGTAGGTATTTATTTGGGTATTTTTTTTATCTCGGTTTCTTTTTCTAATTCATTTTCAGATCGTTGGAATGTATGTATATCAAGTTCTATTTATATTCTCTCTTTTTAAATCATTTTCAGATATTCGGGATTGTTTGAGAAGACCTATGAGAATCCCACTTACAAAATTTTGTGAGCAACAAACTTAAGTGTTGAAACATTGTTTGTATTTTCTATTTTTCGTCAAAGTTATTATTTTTTATTTTCTGTTTTTGTATGCTTAATGTTGACTCTTTTGGTGGTATTGTTATGAAGGTGAATCTGGAAAAATATGTTCATTCTAGAATCGTTACTCGAGTTCTTGGATGGATGGGAAGGTTGTGGAACTCTCCTAGGTTTAAATGATTAATTTTCATCCAAAGCATGTGGTATTAATCGTGGACTTCGTCAATGGGAGCTCAGCGGGCTCCCTCTTTTTACATACATAAATTGCAATTTGGACACTGATGCTAAAAGGCATATTTTATGTGAAAAAATATTTAATCTATTAATAAACAAATAAACCAAAATATAATAATGTCATATATCTACTATTCCTTTGCCCACCAATGTATAAATGGTGGTGTTTGTTACAATAGAGACTTCTGTAGAGGACATGGACCCTAATTTAGTGGCTGCATGATGGCTGTTTATGCTTGCCACCGAATTCAGTGTCCAATGTTTCCAATTGGCACCAATAAGATAGTGTTCTATAGCTATTTTCTAAAAAAAAACTAATGAAAAAGGCTTGAAAACTTTAAGTTTTAACGATAAGGATAAAATAAAGGGTAAAATGAATAGTATCAGAATTGACTTTTTAGTGTAAAAATATAATTTTTCGTTAAAGTGAACACTACCATGAGTTTTTTATTAAAACTCCTATTTTTCTAGTAGTGGGTATACTAAGACTGCTAAGTACCATTACACATTGTCAAATGACAGAACTTACAAGCCCATTGTTGCTGATAGTGATTTTTGGAGTCTAGCTACTGTATTGCCCCTAAATAGAGTGGTACTTGTGTACACCGTTGATGATGTCCAACTGATCAATTCAGCCCCAAACATTGAAATTCAAGCTTCAGCAAACTCTTTTGACATTCCTTACATGTCAGCCCCAAACATTGAAATTCAAGCTTCAACAAACTCTTTTGACATTCCTCACGTCTGATCCTTTTGGCATATTTGAGGGATTTTTGGAGCAAGCTTATGAAGGAGATCGGGAACAAGACAACCTTGTTGAGGCAGGTATACATAACATGGAAAATGAAGAGAGAGATGGCGATGGCAATTCGGAAGATTCAAATTAGTGAGACTCAGACTATGAACAAAGTGATGTCGATGACAACTTATTTGACGACAATTTAGAGAAAACTAAAGGGAAAAATACCAATGGAAAATGCAATGGAAATAGGAAAGCATCACGTAATACTGAACCCTTTCCTGATTTAGGATTTGGAGATGTTGAAACAAACTACGAAGATTCTGATGGCTTTAGAAGTGGTTCTAGTTCATCATCTGAAGGTGAACAACCAGTGAAGCGGAAACGTAGGAAGAAAATGCCCAAATTCATTCCTTTTAGAAGTGATTTGGATATGAAGAACTGGAATGATATTTGCCAATAGAAGGGGGCTCAGACAAGCAGTGACATATTATGGTTGTGTGAATGGAAGACAAATAAGATTCCCAATAAGAGAAGGTTATAAAGTTCAGGGTAAGTGTACAAAGGAGGGATGTCCATGGGTGATTTATGCAAGCAAAACAGATGGGAGCCCTGCACTTATAGTGAAGACACTCAATGACGTCCATACATGTCCGAGAGAGCAAAAGCTCAGAGTATGCACCTCAAATTGGTTATCACATAGGTATGCTGACTATTTGCTTGACAATCCTAAGTGGGAAGTGTCAAAATTTCAACAAACTGTTCATAAACAATACAATATGCATGTAACACCGGCTCAACTTTATAAAGCACGATCATTGGCAGCTGAGAAGAGTGAAGGGGGCTTATGTGGAGCAATATGCAAGGTTATGGGATTATTGTGAGGAGCTCAAGCGAAGAAATCCTGGCAGTACAATTTTGGTGAAGACTGAAATGGAAGGAGGAAGGCCTAGGTTTCAGAGGTTGTATGTATGCTTTGCAGCATTGAAAAAAGGCTTTTTGGAAGGTTGTAGGCCAGTGGTGGGATTGGATGGATGCCACATTAAAGGTCCACATCCAGGCCAGTTGCTTGCTGCCATTGGTATAGATGCCAACAATGGCATGTATCCAGTAGCATATGCGATTGTTGAAATTGAAGATAGAAGAACTTGGACTTGGTTTCTCGAGCTACTCATCACTGATTTGGGTATTGAAAATGGGCATGCTTGGGTCTTTACGTCAGACAAACAAAAGGGGTTAATAAAAGCTGTGAAGGACCTTATTCCAACTGCTGAACACATACATTGTGTTCGACACTTATATAACAATTTCAAGAAAACACACGTTGGCATTGCATTGAAACAAATTCTTTGGTCAGCAGCTAGAGCAACCACCATTCCAGGATTTAAAGCAGAGATGACTAAGATGGAAGTTGAAGACGGATTGGCTATAAGTTGGTTTGATGACAAACCAGCATGTCATTGAAGCAGATCTTATTCTAGGACATCATCTAAGTGTGATATCTTGTTGAATATTCTATGTGAGTCTTTTAGTAGTGCAATATTGAGAGCAAGAGATAAACCAATATTAACTATGGTGGAAAGGATTACAACATATCTGATGGTCAGAATGGCAAGAATGAGAGAAGCAGCGGATAAGTGGAAAACTGAGGTTGGCCCTAGAATATTTAAAATGGTTGAAAAAAATAAATTAGAAAGTGGTTCATGTATTGCTTGGTTGTCAGGTGATATGGAGTATCAAGTGAAGCATATGAGTGGAGCACAATATGTGGTTGATTTAGCGAAACACACATGTACATGTAGAAGGTGGGATCTCACTGGAATTCCTTGTGCTCATGGAATTGCTGTAATCTATAGAAAGGAGGACGATCCATACAAGTATGTTCATTCTTGTTACAAGAAAGCAGCATACTTGAGAGCCTACACTTATATCCATGCCATGCTTAGTCAAGAATTTTGGCCACCTACAAATCACCAACCCGTTGCATCTCCAAAGTATCATAAGCAAGCTGGTAGGCCAAAGAAGGTGAGGGCAAGAGAGCAAGATGAACCACAACCACCATCAACCTTAAAAAAATTGCCTAAATGCTTCAGCAAGGTCACTTGTGGAATGTGTGGCAAGAAAGGTCATAATCGTACAACATGCGGGAAGAGGCAACGACAAGCTTCACAGGTAAAAATAGCTTAATGGTTTCACTTATCTGCATTTTTAGTCACATATGGTTGTTATAAATTGGGGAATATCATCTCTTAGGCCTATGGAGAAGCTGGGAGAGGACAAACTTGTGGGACAAATGAAATTGGCCATAACTCACCAACTACTGAAAGTGGGCAAACACAAGCAATGGTGTGCGTACTGAAAACTTCGGTATTTTAAGGTTTTGTCTTGTATTTATTGACTGATGTATGTGTAACTCTTTTATTGATCATTTTGTAGCATGCCACTGGAGGAAATACGGGAAGTGAAACTCCACCAAATCAGGGACAAGAAAAATCTGCACCTAATGCAAGTTCTTTTGACCTATGTCTTTGTCCCTTTCTCGTCAGGTTTTTTTTTACTTTTTTATTGTTTGTAGGTTTCTAAAAGGGGTAGAGTGAAAAAAAAATGCAAGAGGTAAGTCAATGCACAAGTCAAGAAAACCACCTAAAAACCGTAGAATCTGAAGAAATCATTTGAAACTTTAGACTTTTTGTTAATATTGTCAATATCCTCTTGGACTCGATGGTACTGAGCACTGTGATCATGATACTCACTAGATCGAAGTGCATGTTTAATAATGGAATCACCAAATGGAAAAGCAAAATCATAAGTTGGGTACAAGTTGTACTCGGACACAATTCGATGATGTGGTGTAGATTGTAGGGGTAATAAATAGGATCTTGAAGAGATTTTTTTTGGATACTGCATATCCAGAGTTCTCCTCAATGAATGATTATGATTTAGGTCACAATTGACCTCGAATGCCCATTTTCTTCTCAAGAATTTGAAAACGAATTTGTGAGCTTAATCAACATCTAATTGTGGACTATCTCACCTAGATATATCTACAAGATGGTCATAATATTATTTGCTTGTTATTACAAGCTCAATTTCCCAATTGTAGGCTATTTCAGACCACTGGGAATTACTTTTAAGCACACAATTTTTCATGGCTTAGCACAAGGTTAAGCATTCTATTCATTGCTAATTTTTGGTTAGGAGAATCATCTTGATCCACAGGCATGTATCATCATGATCATTTCGGTTGACGTTTATTTTTCAACCAACAAGAAATTGTGTACACAAAGATGGTTCAATCCATGAAAATTGAGATTCAAGTTTATCTTTCTAAATAGCAACTAAAATACCTCTTTGTAATTGCAATATACAATTTAGTTTTACAAAAAACATCCAAAAGAGTTTCAAGTCATGCGGATGAACATTTTATGCAAATATATTGCATGGGCTTGATCCTTTTTACTTCATCACTAGTCATTCCCTCGCATTCAGCATGGAAACTTTATGAGCAATTCATATGATGTAATAAGTAAAGATGGAATTGAACAATAACAACTTGAAAGAAAAGAATTTGAAGACTTTACCACTCCTTGCATGCCTCACAGCACACCATGAGATTATCTGGGTTATACGGTATCTGACAAGTGCAATACCTTAAAAAATAATTAAACAAATAAACAGCACATCAAATTTCATCTATAAACACCACATATCAACTAAAACGTAAGATAAAAGAGACTCACAGAGGAATAAGAAAATTGTCGAACCCTTTCCTAGAATGCAAGACCTAAATCTCTAATAGTAATCCTCATATGTTACCATTTGGAGTTTTACGTACTCATCAAGAGTGTGGACATTACACTTTCCGAGAATGGTATCAATGCTCATAGTATCACGATGATTAAACCATATGAGCTCATCCTTTCCAAAGAAAGGAGGACGCTTTTCAAGGGCATCATCTGACCTATAGAACCACCTCACCATCACTTTCTTTTTATTGTGACTAAAACGCAGGATGGCCGCCACCCATGGCTGATCGTTCACTATTGCACCATCATGATTAATCATGACTTAATCCCCAACGGAGAAAGTCTCATTGGTAGTTGTAATGCAACAAGTGGCCATCCCTTCCAAATAACTGGCAATCATATAAAAGAGATCCAACAAGAAGTGATCAGCTTAACCCCAGTGTCCCTCCCAACTCTAATGTCAATCACATAAAAGAGATCCGTCTACTATATGACCTCAACTATAACAAAAGAGCTCAATCTTATAACAAAAGAATAAACAAAACATAAATCTTATAACAAAAGATTAAAAAAACATAGCTATTAGTGCTTTTAGTGAGGGTGAAATAATCTGGACAATAGAATTCAAACTACACCATTACATAATTGATCTACATTCTAATCACTAGCAGCAAATGAAACCTTAATTTTAATTCAAAATTGAAACCCTAATAGCTCAAAATTTCGAACTATTACATAATTGATAACTAGTTTTAAATCAAAATCACTAGCAGTAAACGAAACCCAAATCGAAATCAAGGTGAAATTTCTTACCACGTGCAGTGCAATCGTTGGAGGTGAAAGACATATAGAATTCGAGAGGAGAAAGAGACTCAGAAACGAGTCGAGAGAGAGCCGGTGTGTGGTGATTCTGAATTTGAATTATATTAGCCGTTGAATTTAAATTTGGACCGCCAAATTTTTTACTGTTGGATTTAATCATCTTAGCTGTTGAATTTAAACACTTTATAAAAGAATATGAAACGTATTGAAAAAAATTCTTTTAATTATTTCACTCGTTGAACTCCCGAGTCTCAACTCCATCCCTTAAGACTCTCTGGATTCCAAGTCTCCTACTACCAGGCACCACCACCATCTCCTCTCAAGTCTCAACTCCCACATCTCTTCTATCTCCCGACTCCAACCACCACCATCATCTCCTCTCAACTGAAGTCGATAGCTCGATCCCTCCCACCACTGAGTAAGGTACTCAGTTTTAATTTTTAGGGATTTAAGATTTAGTGTTTTCTAGATTTTGGGGTCTTGATCTAATAATTTCTAGTTGTCTGATAACGGAATCAACTGCTTAGTCTTATAATTTTGAAGCTTTGCTTTGATATTTTGATTAAATTGAAATTTGAATTATGAGAATATTAGAAACTTACATATCTATGTAATGAAGAAAAAGAAAATTAGAAACTTACATGAATTGATCAAAATAATTACACCAACAAAATATCCATTCAGTCAAAATTTTGCACCATTACAGAATTGATCTAAATTCTAATAACTAGCAGCAAACAAAACTTTAATTTTAACTCAAAATCGAAACCATAATAAAATAGGAAAGTTAGCTAAAAATTTCGCACCATTACAAAATTGATTACATTTTTTATTCAGAATAGATTACATTTTTTTTTTCCTTTTCAAAACAGGTTATTTTCACATATCCTTTGTAATCCAAACACAACACTAGCTCAATTCAATTTCAGATCAAAACGACCCTGACTGTACTATTATTATCAAAATCCACAACCATATCAATCACAAAATGGAAGCTTGAATGAGATAAAAAAATATTTAAAAACTTATCACTTTTATCTTATTGAATATGGCTTCCAGGGAGAAAAAAGGGAAAAATTGATGGCGAAATCTCTTTTCTACATGAACAACAAAAACCCAGCACAATGACACCAAATACAATCTAATCCAATTCAATCAAACCAATCTCAATTCTCATATTCGACTTTAATCTCAATTCAATCTCATAATTCCAAATACAATCTGCTTTGCTCAATTCAGTTTCAAAACAAACGACCCGGACTGTACTATTATTATCAAAATCCACAAGCATATCAATAAGAAATGGAAGCTTGAATGAGAGAAAAAAAATATGTAAAAACTGACCACCTTTATCTTATTGAATATGGCTTACAAGGAAAAAAGGGAAAAACTGATGGCGAAATCTTTTATCAACATGAACAACAAAAACCCAGCACAATGACACCAAATACAATCTAATCTCAATTCAATCAAACCAAACTCAATTCTCATATTCCAATCTAATCTCATTTTAATCTCATAATTCCAAACACAATATGCTTATAAGAATGACCCCAACACTTGCCCACCGATCACCAACACCCCAAATCTAAATATTCTCATAATTCTAATTCCAATTCAATCAAATACCAAAGCAAAGCTTCAAAATTATAAGACTAAGCAGTCGATTCCATCATCAGACAACTAGGAATTATTAGGTCAAGACCCCAAAATCCCAAAATCTAGAAAACACTAAATCTTAAATCCTTCGCCCATGAGCGGTAGGTCTTGGGTTCGAGACTTGGGAGCAGCCTCTCCATAAATGGGGGTAAGGCTAGCCGACATTCACCTCTCCCAGACCCTGCGTAAAGCGGGAGCTTATGCACTGGGTACGACCTTACTTAGTGGTGGGAGGGATCGAGCTATCGACTTCAGTTGAGAGGAGATGATGGTTGGTGGTGGTCAGAGTCAGGAGAGAGAAGAGATGTGGGGAGTTGAGACTTGAGAGGAGATGGTGGTGGTGCCTGGTAGTCGAAGACTCGGAATCCAGAGAGTATGGGGGATGGAGTTAAGACTCGGAGTCCAACGGGTAAAATAATTAAAAGAAATTATTTCAATGTGTTTCATATTCTTTTATATAGTGTTCAAATTTAAATTCAACGACTAAGATGATTAAATCCAACAGTTAAAAACAAAATTGACGGTCCAAATTTAAATTCAACGGCTAATATAATTCAAATTCAGAATCACCGGCTCTCTCTTTCTCTCTCGACTCCTTTCTGACTGTCAAGTCTCTGTCTCCTCTCGAATTCTGTCTTTCACCTCCAACGGCTGCACTGCACATGGTAAGATATTTCACCTTGATTTTAATTTGGGTTTCGTTTGCTGCTCGTGTTTCTGATTTTGATTTAAAATTAGTTATCAATTCTATAATAGTTCAAAATTTTGAGCTATTAGGGTTTCGATTTTGAATTAAAATTAAGGTTTCGTTTGCTGCTAGTGATTAGAATGTAGATCAATTCTGTAATGGTGTAGTTTGAAGTCTATTGCCCAGATTAGCTCACCCTCACTAAAAGCACTAATAGCTATGTTTTTTTAATCTTTTGTTATAAGATTTATATTTTTTTTTATTCTTTTGTTTTAAGATTGGGCTTTTTTGTTATAGTTGAGGTCATATAGTTGACGGATCTATTTTATGTGATTGACAATAGAATTGGGAGGGACACTTGGGTTAAGTTGATCACTGCTTGTTGGATCTCTTTTATATGATTGCATGTTATTTGGAGAGGATGACCACTTGTTGCATTACAACTACCAATGAGACTTTCTCCATTGGGGATTGTGTCCTGATTAATCATGATAGTGCAATAGTGAACGATCAGCCATGGATGACGGTCATCCCGTGTTTCAGTCATAATAAAAAGAAAGCGATGGTGAGATGGTTCTATAGGTCAGAGGATGCCCTTGAAAAGCATCCTCCTTTCTTTGGAAATGATGAGCTCATATGGTCTAATCATCGTGATCATGTGAGCATTGATAACATTCTCGGAAAGTGTAATGTCCACACTCTTGATGAGTACGTAAAACTCCAAACGGTAACATATGAGGATTACTATTGGAGATTTAGGTACTTGCCTTCCAGGAAAGGGTTCGACAATTTTCTTATTCCTCTATGAGTCTCTTTTATCTTACGTTTTAGTTGATATGTGGTGTTTATGGATGAAATTTGATGTGCTGTTTATTTGTTTAATTATTTTTTAAGGTATTGCACTTGTCAGATGCCGTATAACCCAGATAATCTCATGGTGTGGTGTGAGGCATGCAAGGAGTGGTAAAGTCTTCAAATTCTTTTCTTTCAAGTTGTTATTGATCAATTCCGTCTACTTATTACATCATATGAATTGCTCATAAAGTTATTTTCCTCTTTGACTTAAAGGTAACATGCTGAGTGCGAGGGAATGACTAGTTATGAAGTAGAAAGGATCAAGCCCTAGCAATATATTTGCATAAAATGTTCATCTGCATGACTTGGAACTCTTTTAGATTTTTTTTTAAAACTAAATTGTATTTGCAATTACAAAGAGGTATTTTAGTTGCTATTTACTTTTGGATGTGTAGAACTAAAGAAAGATAAACTTGAATCTCAATTTTCATGGATTGAACCATTTTTGTGTATACAATTTCTTGTTGGTTGAAAAATAAACGTCAACCGAAATGATCATGATGATGCATGTGGATCAAGATGCTTCTCCCAAGCAAAATAAGCAATGAATAGAATGCTTAAACCTTGTGCTAAGCCATGAAAAATTGTGTGCTCAAAAGTAATCCCAGTGGCCTGAAATAGCCTACAATTGGGAAATTGAGCTTGTAATAACAAGCAAATAATATTATGACCATCTTGTAGATATATCTAGGTTAGATAGTCCACAATTAGATGTTGATTAAGCTCACAAGTACATTTTCAAATTCTCAAGAAGAAAATGGGGATCTGAGGTCCAGACCTAAATCATAATCATTCATTGAGAAGAACTCTGGATATGCAAGATCCAAAAAAATCTCTTCGAAATCTTGTTTATTACCCCTACAATCTACACGACATCATTGAATTGGGTCCGAGTACAACTTGTACCCAACTTATGATTTTGTTTTTCCATTTGTTGATTCCATTATTAAACATGCACTTCGATCTAGTGAGTATCATGATCGCAATGCTCATATTTGTGCTATTTTGATTACCTTATCTCGCTATCACTTGATTCATTAGTTCTAAAGGAAGTTCTAATCACTACGAAAACAGCTTAATAACAGTTGATTATCCCTAAAACAAAGAGGGCAAACATAGAAATAGTGTTTGTACTCAAAATCCCAATTGTGTAACACATGGTTGTAATCTACCCTGATCTCAAAATTTAAAATTCGACACAAAAATGAAATTTGGAATGATTAGCAGGGAAATAAGAGAGAAGCGTGAGCGAATATACCCATGAGGCCTTCGGATCCGAGTTCGGAGCTTGAAGGGCAGAGGTTGCAAACCCAGAGCATGGAAGAAGCGGGAAGGATTTTCCTCTGTGCTGCCTCGTGTCTTCTACTATTTATCCAAGCATTGACTGTTCAAATATTGGGTAGTGGGTAATCTTAAAACTGATATAATCATATAGAAATAACTTTGTTCAATCTTTCAGGATCTTAACAACATGTCTTTCAACAATATTTGTGATGTTGATTTTGAATCATGTCTCTATTTTAGATTGAGAGAGAGAGCATGATTTAAGCGGGAACTATCTCAGATTCTCAGGCAATTTTCCTATCTAGCAAATGGTTAAGACAGAAAAATGAACCTTCGATATAGAAAACATCGTAAGCTTACAAAAGCCACCAAATCAAAGTTATGCTTTTTTATGTGCTTGTTTGCAACATGGCATATTTATTGCTTTCCAGGGTATAAATGGCTATCATGCAAAATGAAAAAGAAGTTAAAGACTTCCAACAATGGAGAGCATACCACCATCATATGTGATCCAGGGCAACACCATAAAAGCATGCTAGAATTAGAGAGATGAGACTGGTGGCTAGTGGCATATTTTAATTAGCAAAACCTCCAAGATAAGTCGACCTCTCTGATCATATGGGAATTTGCAAAGAAATGGATTTCCCGTAGATATCTTTTGCATCATCATAGTCATTATAAAAAAGGTAAACATGATGACATGTTTCAGGACAGCATACATAACACATGCATAAACACCCCAATTGCAAACTCTACAATGAAAGGGACCAAAATAAAATAAAAACTTCCGTTAAACTAAAACAATTACAAAATCCAAAATTCAATTCTTTTTTTTTTTTTGCAAACTCTTCAATGAAATGGACCAAAATAAAATAAAAACTTTAGTTAAACTAAAACAATTACAAAATGCAAAATTCAATTCTTTCTTTTTTCTTGTGTCAAAATTAAATTATTGTAACCTTCATAAATGCATCAATTTATGGATCCGGCCTTATATTCCTTTCCCTCTCTAACCGTACCAAATCATTCATGTATGCTACAGCATAAAACAATTGACAAAAACAGGGGAAGGATATCAACAGTGCTCGATTGAGTACATGAAATAATTGCTGGAATTAAGAATATATACGCATTGAAAGTAACGAAATTGCAATTAACAAGAACACACCTACATAGGCTTCACTTGCATCTTGACATCTAGCTGTAAAATCCAATGTTTCTCTTACGGTCAGCTCTGGAAAATGATTATCTGTTCGGTGGATTTATGCCCCAAAATTCAAACACCAGAGTTTCCTAAAAGCAAAAAAGACTGAAATCAGACAATCACACGTAGCATCCGAGCACACATACAAAACCCTCCAAAATTACAACATAAAAGCAATTGTAGGCTCATTGGAAAAGTGTATATATATATATATATATATATATATATATATTTTTTTTTTTTTTGTGGAAATGCTAATAGATTCATTTTCCAATCCTCAAATCTATTTCCCCACAAAACCAAAAAAAAAAAAAAATGTTAGTTTGCACCCCTCCGAAGCAAAGGGAATGAAAGAAAGGAAGAGCAAAATAAAAGACAAGGGGGAGTCTAAACTTGGACACCAAGCATAATAAGTACAACTACTGCTAAAACCATTTGTCAGATGATATGAAATATGAATCATGAACATACACGCAATAAAGTTTCCCTTATGGAATCCTCAAATAATCTGGTACAGACTGGATCACCTAGAGATTAAGAAATAATAGTCCTACTAGTATAGAAGCATGCAAAAGAAGCTCTAGGAATTAGAAAAACATCGTCCTCCATACCTGATGAAATATCTCAGGCTGCGAGGTGTAACCATTTGCAGTTCATTTATCTGCATCCCACACCATGCAGCTTCACTAATGACCAACGAATTCATACTGCAGTGCATAGAGAAAAATGCAACTGCACATAAACTCTTAACTACATTGAAAGTCATGATACCAAAGCAATGATGAAACTTCTTCACATGATATCATTTTGAACCATACCAAAGCATGTCAATTCTATGTGATTTTGTTAAGAGTAAATGTTCATTTTCTATGTTGTATATATCCATGTACCAACTTCAGATCTACTAACTTTGAGAGAAAGAGAAACAATTACAACATTTTTCTATGCATGACGATAATAAATATGACTCATAAATAATTTTGACCTTAAACAAAAGAAAATGCTTAGGAAAATTAAATTTAACAGAGGTCCATACCTGTAGCAGGGAAAAGAATGGATGTATCCCTTCTTTTTTTCTTTTTTGGTCTGAATGTATCCCTTCCCTTTAAAGGTTGCACTGCCCAAGAAGTAAACTCGTCATAAATTAATCAAAAAAATGAAAGTAAATTATGCATCACGATGTAGTCAATTTGGATTTTAGAGGATTTTAATGGATTTTTTTAAGTGACAAATTTAAAAAGATTTTAATAGATTTACAATTCTATGTAGATTTTGGCAGATTTATATGGATTTCTATTATAGATATTTATGGATTTGAATGGATTTCTTAGGATTTTAGTTGACTCCTACAACATAAAATAAATATTTTTTTTAGTACACAATCTGAAAAGAACATAAATTGAAAGGAACATAAACATATATCTATTGATATAGAAATACAAACCAATCAAATATGTAAATAGAATGGGGTATTGAGAATATTGATCCAAGAGTTTGAATAATTGTTAAGGATAGCATCTGCTTTAGAACATCATAGCCATTCAAGAATGATGATTTCAAGTTCAAGAACAGGATATCCAATCATGAATAATAATAATATATGTGAAAGAATACCAAATGAAAATCGAAATTGAGTAGGACATATTTGGGCAGCAAAATCCTGGGATAAAAAACATTTTAACCATGACCAAAAAAAAAAAACATTTGAAGCCAAAAACATGGACACTAATTTGCAGAAAAAAGGCTTAAATCAAATGGGAAAAGCCAAACTTAGAAAAATCAAAAGTGCAGATGAGAGAATCTCAATTCAGAAAAGCACGAGTATAAAGCAAAACAATATACAACTATAATCCAACAACAACAACAACAACAACAACAACAAAGCCTTTTCCCACTAAGTGGGGTCGGCTATGAATCCTAGAACGCCATTGCGCTCGGTTTTGTGTCATGTCCTCCGTTAGATCCAAGTACTCTAAGTCTTTTCTTAGAGTCTCTTCCAAAGTTTTCCTAGGTCTTCCTCTACCCCTTCGGCCCTGAACCTCTGTCCCGTAGTCACATCTTCGAACCGGAGCGTCATTCGGCCTTCTTTGCACATGTCCAAATCACCGGAGCCGATTTTCTCTCATCTTTCCTACAATTTCGGCTACTCCTACTTTACCTCGGATATCCTCATTCCCAATCTTATCCTTTCTCGTGTGCCCACACATCCCACGAAGCATCCTCATCTCCGCTACACCCATTTTGTGTACGTGTTGATGCTTCACCGCCCAACATTCTGTGCCATACAAACATCGCTGGCCTTATTGCCGTCCTATAAAATTTTCCCTTGAGCTTCAGTGGCCTACGACGGTCACACGACACGCCGGATGCATTCTTACACTTCATCCATCCAGCTCGTATTCTATGGTTGAGATCTCCATCTAATTCTCCGTTCTCTTGCAAGATAGATCCTAGGTAGCGAAAACGGTCGCTTTTTGTGATCTTCGCTAGATTGCTCCGGTCATTAGTGTGGATAAGTATATAAATGGATAGAGATAGGAAAGCAAACACAAGATGTACGTGGTTCACCCATATTGGCTACGTCCACGGAATAGAAGAGTTCTCATTAATTGTGAAGGGTTTACACAAGTACATAGGTTCAAGCTCTCCTTTAGTGAGTACAAGTGAATGATTTAGTACAAATGACATTAGGAAATATTGTGGGAGAATGATCTCGTAATCACGAAACTTTTAAGTATCGGAGTGTGGTGTCGTCTTGACTTGCCTTATCTGTCTCATAGGTAGATGTGGCATCTTCTCTGGAAGTACTCTTCCTCCATCCAGGGGTGGTATCTTTAACTGGTGGAGATGCACAAGGTAATGTATCAATTTCACTTGAAGCTTACTTGTAGTTTCAGGCTTGGTCAAGCGCGATACAAACCATGTAGTAGGAGTCCCCCAAGTCGCCGAGCTAGGGGGTCTGCTGAAAGAGGTGACAGACAAGGTAAGCAATCAGAGCTCCGACTGATTGTTCACCTTCTCCCCATCTTGCAGCAGCATGAAGGATAAAGAGAAGAAAAATGAGAAGAGATGATATGAGATACTTTTGCTTTTGAAGAAGTAACTTTCCACAAGCTTATTCTTGAACTGAGCTGGAGGGTTTTCTGGTTTCCTCCAGAGTATAAGGCCGACTGAAGAATTTGAGGGTCAAAACAAGTCCATCAAATCTAGAGTACGTTCCACCCTGCTGATATGGGATACTTTTGCTTTTGACAGAGTAATGGATGTATCGGCACGTGTGCTGTTACGCTTGTCTCCACATGCTTCCTTGTATCCTTCGCACTTGCCCTATCTGTTCCTCAAGCAGATGCGGAATCTTCCCTGGAAACATAAGATGTTGAAGATGAGTACTCGAGAGCAATGCCAGGTAAGTAATCAGGTAAGGGGTTCCAGGCAGTCAGTTCCTGGCTGGAAGCTTGATTCCAAGTGCTGACTGATTGCTCTCTTTCTCCTTGTCTTGCAGGTAAAAACAAGGCCAAAGGAAAAGACAGGGAAAAAGCATGATATGGGATACTCTTGCTTTTAACCCTGATGATATGAGATATTCTTGCTCTAGTATAGCTTGTTTACAGAGGTATTATCGGGGGGAAAGAAAGCTGAATATTTCGAAAGGCTTCGTTGGGAGTGCCCTCTCAGATATGATGAAGGGTTGAGCATTTTTGCAGGTCTGCCTGTCCGTTGGGGATGGAGGTCGACATATATAGGAGTCTCCCTAACAAGTAGTAATGCTATTCCTTTACCCTGCTTGGTCATAGCACGGTAGTAGGGAGCTGCCAGTTTCACATGTTTTAACTCTGTCAGAGCACTTTGAAAAAGTGGTCTGTGGTATTTGGCTCTCGAGATTCGGAGAACGATGCCTCTTCGATTTTTGAGAAAGCAATCATGCTGGGGGTCTGGCTCTCGAGATTCGGAGAGCAGTGTCTCTTCAATTTTTGAGGAAGTAATCATGTTGGGAGTCTGGCTCTCGAGATTCGGAGGGCGGTGCCTCTTCGATTTTGGAGCAAGCAATTTTTGTTGGGAGTGTTTGTCTCGAATGTGAGTAAAGGTTGGGCATGTTTGCTAGTCTACCTTGCCACGAAGCACAAAGGTTGACACACAGGGACTTTCCAATTATCCAGCAATGGTACTGTTCCTTTACCCTCTCTCTTCGATTTTGAGAAAGTAGTCATGTTGGGAGTCTGGCTCTCGAGATTCGGAGGACGGTGCCTCTTCGATTTTGGAGCAAGCAATCTTGTTGGGAGTGTTTTCTCGAATGTGAGTAAAGGTTGGGCATGTTTGCTAGTCTACCTTGCCACGAAGCACAGAGGTTGACACACAGGGACTTTCCAATTATCCAGCAGTGGTACTGTTCCTTTACCCTTGTGGGTAATAATATGGTAGCTAGACCTTCAAAATTTATGTGTCTAAACTTTGTTAGTGCTGTTTCTTTGCTATTCTTTTACCTTTCTTGGTCAGAGCGATGTAGTGGGAGCTGCAAGCTTCACGTGCTCAACTTTGGCAAAGTTATCTGTGGTACCCATGAGCTATTGTTGCGTGTGGGAAGTGGGTGATTGAACAGTAAGATTCATGTGCTTTCTACTTCACCAGAAGTCTTCGACAGAATGCCCATAATTTCTGCAAAGCTGAGTGTGCGTGTGACAGGTGCTGACAAGGCTAGAAAAGTAGGTGTCTCTTCGATTTCTGAGATCGGCCCTCGTGGTCTCTGAGCAGCCCAGCTTTTGAGAAAGCGAGCGCCTCTTCGATTGATTCGGAGAACGATGCCTCATCGATTTTTGAGAAAGCAATCATGATGGGGGTCTGGCTCTCGAAGATTCGGGGAGCAGTGTCTCTTCGATTTTTGAGAAAGTAATCATGTTGGGAGTCTGGCTCTCGAGATTCGGAGGGCGGTGCCTCTTCGATTTTGGAGCAAGCAATCTTGTTGGGAGTGTTTTCTCGAATGTGAGTAAAGGTTGGGCATGTTTGCTAGTCTACCTTGCCACGAAGCACAGAGGTTGACACACAGGGACTTTCCAATTATCCAGCAATGGTATTGTTCCTTTACCCTCTTCGATTTTTAAAAAAGTAGTCATGTTGGGAGTCTGGCTCTCGAGATTCGGAGGACGGTGCCTTTTCGATTTTGGAGCAAGCAATCTTATTGGGAGTGTTTTCTCGAATGTGAGTAAAGGTTGGACATGTTTGCTAGTCTACCTTGCCACGAAGCACAGAGGTTGGCACACAGAGACTTTCCAATTATCCAGCAGTGGTACTGTTCCTTTACCCTTGTGGGTAATAATATGGTAGCTAGACCTTCAAAATTTATGGGTCTAAACTTTGTTAGTGCTGTTTCTTTGCTATTCTTTTACCCTTCTTGGTCATAGCGATGTAGTGGGAGCTGCAAGCTTCACGTGCTCAACTTTGGCAGAGAACTTTGGCAAAGTTTTCTGTGGTACCCATGAGCTATTGTTGCGTGTGGAAAGTGGGTGATTGAACAGTAAGATTCATGTGTTTTCTACTTCCCCAGAAGTCTTCGACATAATGCCCATAATTTCCGCAAAGCTGAGTGTGCGTGTGACAGGTGCTGACAAGGCTGGAAAAGTAGGTGCCTCTTCGATTTCTGAGATCGGCCCTCGTGGTCTCTGGGGAGCCCAGCTTTTGAGAAAGAGAGCGCCTCTTCGATTTCTGAGATCAGCCTTCGTGGTCTTTGAGCAGCCCAACTTTTGAGAAAGCAAACGCCTCTTCGATTTCTGAGATCAACCCTCGTGATCTCTAAGCAGCCCAGCTTTTGAGAAAGCAAACGCCTCTTCGATTTCTGAAGCTCCGTCGAGTGCAGATTTTTATAGGGGCTGGCATTAAGTTCCAAAGCACACTTGAATCTCCACCAGTAGAAGCTTCATTCTTGCACTTCTAAGATCTTGATTTGTCCGACCTCTTCTCTCTTCAACACCTTTGAAAATGTCTGGCCCCTCCGACCGTCGTTTTGACTTGAACCTTGTTGAAGAGGCAGCCCCGCCTTCTCCAGACAACATATGGCGCCCATCCTTCGTCTCCCCTACTGGTCCTCTTACCGTTGGGGATTCCGTGATGAAGAATGATATGACCGTTGCGGTGGTGGCCAGGAACCTTCTCACTCCCAAAGATAACAGACTACTTTCCAAACGGTCTGATGAGTTAGCTGTTAAGGATTCGCTGGCTCTCAGTGTTCAGTGTGCAGGTTCTGTGTCTAATATGGCCCAACGCCTATTTGCTCGAACCCGCCAAGTTGAATCATTGGCGGCTGAAGTGATGAGTCTCAAACAGGAGATTAGAGGGCTCAAGCATGAGAATAAACAGTTGCACCGGCTCGCACATGACTATGCTACAAACATGAAGAGGAAGCTTGACCAGATGAAGGAAACTGATGGTCAGGTTTTACTTGATCATCAAAGATTTGTGGGTTTGTTCCAAAGGCATTTATTGCCTTCGTCTTCTGGGGCTGTACCGCGTAATGAAGCTCCAAATGATCAACCTTTGATGCCTCCTCCTTCTAGGGTTCTGTCCAGTACTGAGGCTCCAAATGATCCCCCTCCGGTGCCTTCTCTTTCTGGGGCTCTACCGACTGCTGAGACTTCTCCTAAGCAACCTTTGTGAAGGCTCCCTCTTGTGTGTTTTATTTGACTCATGTATATGCACATATTTGTAGCTTATCGGGGATATCAATAAATAAGCTTTCCTTCATTTCAACGTATTGTGTTAAATACACCAAAGCCTTCTTCGCTAAGTTCTTTGAATTTTCTTTTGTTGAAGCTTGTATGTTGAAGCTTTCTGAGTGGAGCATGAAGGTTGGGGTAGTGTTCCCTTAATTTTCCGAGTGAGGAAAACTTCTCGGTTGGAGACTTGGAAAATCCAAGTCACTGAGTGGGATCGGCTATATGAATCTTAGAACGCCATTGTGCTCAATCCTGTGTCATGTCCTTCGTTAGATCCAAGTACTCTAAGTCTTTTCTTAGAGTCTCTTCCAAAGTTTTCCTAGGTCTTCCTCTACCCCTTCGGCCCTGAACCTCTGTCCCATAGTCGCATCTTCTAATCGGAGCGTCAGTAGGCCTTCTTTGCACATGTCCAAACCACCGTAACCGATTTTCTCTCATCTTTCCTTCAATTTCGGCTACTCCTACTTTACCCCGGATATCCTCATTCCTAATCTTATCCTTTCTCGTGTGCCCACACATCCAACGAAGCATCCTCATCTCCGCTACACCCATTTTGTGTACGTGTTGATGTTTCACCGCCCAACATTCTGTGCCATACAGCATCGCCGGCCTTATTGCCGTCCTATAAAATTTTCCCTTGAGCTTCAGTGGCATACGGCGGTCACATAACACGCCGGATGCACTCTTCCATTTCATCCATCCAGCTTGTATTCTATGGTTGAGATCTCCATCTAATTCTCCGTTCTTTTGCAAGATAGATCCTAGGTAACGAAAACGGTCGCTCTTTGGTATTTCTTGATCTCCGATCCTCACCCCTAACTCGTTTTGGCCTCCATTTGCACTGAACTTGCACTCCATATATTCTGTCTTTGATCGGCTTAGGCGAAGACCTTTAGATTCCAACACTTCTCTCCAAAGGTTAAGCTTTGCATTTACCCCTTCCTGAGTTTCATCTATCAACACTATATCGTCTGCGAAAAGCATACACCAAGGAATATCATCTTGAATATGTCCTGTTAACTCATCCATTACCAACGCAAAAAGGTAAGGACTTAAGGATGAGCCTTGATGTAATCCTACAGTTATGGGAAAGCTTTCGGTTTGTCCTTCATGAGTTCTTACGGCAGTCTTTGCTCCTTCATACATATCCTTTATAGCTTGGATATGTGCTACTCGTACTCCTTTCTTCTCTAAAATCCTCCAAAGAATGTCTCTTGGGACCCTATCATACGCTTTTTCCAAATCTATAAAGACCATGTGTAAATCCTTTTTCCCATCTCTATATCTTTCCATCAATCTTCGTAAGAGATAGATTGCCTCCATGGTTGAGCGCCCTGGCATGAACCCGAATTGGTTGTCCGAAACCCGTGTCTCTTGCCTCAATCTATGCTCAATGACTCTCTCCCAGAGCTTCATTGTATGACTCATTAGCAATTCTCATCTTCCCAAAGGAATAAACCAAGAGCATGAATTCAGAAAAATATATAAACAAGGCGAAAACGGGGAGTCTTCTGGGAAATGCTCTAAACTCATGGTAAGACTGTTCACCTTCTATGGTTTGGTGTGAAAAGAAATTTGAGGGGGGGGGTTGGATTGTTAATAGCATTTGGTATTTATATCACCCACTCTCAAATCCCTTAAAATCCTTCATTCACAAAAATCCTAGCAAATCTTTAACATTTCCACTACACCTAGATTTGTATGGACTTTTTAAACTTTTAATTGACTACCCATGAATTTGGATGTATTCTTTAAATCCTCCTATATCCTAATTTGACTACACCATGATTTTAAAATATTTTAAAATCCACATTCAAACTTCTAATTAACTACTCTGATTTTAAAGTCCGTTAAAATACTATCAAATTCTAGTTTGACTACACCTCTTACTTTTCCGGCAACTTCTTGCAGTGAAGAAGGGGCGAAAAGAAATTCCTGGAAATTAGCTTACCTTACTTCTCCCTTACTCTTTCTCCCTGAACCCATACCAAACAGAAATCGCCGAAAATCCTCTCCCCTACCCTCTGTCACTTGGCGAATTACAGAAATGCAGCTGTTGGATGTGGAATCAAGCAGGGAAAATGGTAATTTCACTACCCCACTCTCACTCCAGAGTCAAAGATCCGCACCAAATCTCTCTCACTCTCTCTGTCTCTCTCTGCAAGCGACATTGCTGTCCCCCTCTGTCGGCTCTAGAATTCCCTACCCATCAATCCAAATTCGTCCCAAAATTAAGATGACAAAAGTGCCCTGCAGCCCTTCAATCTCATCCGCGTGATCCTAACCCTAGATAGATATTTCCGTCATTTAAGCACCCTAAGGCATACAAGTATGTTCATTCTTGTTACAAGAAAGCAGCATACTTGAGAGCCTACACTCCTTATATCCAATCCATGCCTAGTCAAGAATTTTGGTCACCTACAAATCACCAACCCGTTGCACCTCCAAAGTATCATAAGCAAGCTGGTAGGCCAAAGAAGCTGAGGGCAAGAGAGAAAGATGAGCCACAACCACCATCAACCTTAAACAAATTGCCTAAATGCTTCAGTAAGGTCACTTGTGGAATGTGTGGCAAGAAATGTCATAATTGTACAACATTCGGGAAGAAGCAACGACAAGCTTCACAGGTAAAAGTAGCTTAATGCTTTCACTTATCTGCATTTTTTTTTTTTTTGAAAACTCACTTATCTGCATTTTTAGTCACATATGGTTGTTATAAATTGGGGAATATCATCTCATAGGCCTATGTAGAAGCTGGGAGAGGACAAACTTGTGGGACAAATGAAATTGGCCATAACTCACCAACTACTAAAAGTGGGCAAACACAAGCAATGGTGTGCTCACTGAAAACTTTCGTATTTTAAATTTTAGTCTTGTATTTATAGACGGATGTATGTGTAACTTTTTTATTGATCATTTTGTAGCATGCCACTGGAGGAAATATGGGAAGTGAAACTCCACCAAATCAGGGACAAGAACAATCTGCATCTAATGCAAGTTCTTTTGACCTATGTCTTTGTCCCTTTCTCGTGTGTGCTTTTATAACCCAATGCCATCTGTTAATTTTTCAGGTTTTTTATTATTTATTATTTTTATTATTTGTAGGTTTCTAAAAGGCGTAGTGTGAAATGAAATGCAAAAGGCAAGTCAGTGCACAATTCAAGAAAGCCACCTGAAAACTGTAGAATCTGAAGGAAATCATTTGGAAATTTAGACTTTTTGTTAATGTCAATTTTTTTTTTTTTTTGATGAAGACAATGTTGTGAACTTTAAGCCCTGTTTTTTATTTTGAACATAATTAAGCAATGAAATAATATTTTTGATATGGTAGCAATCAAATGATCAGGCATTGCATTCTGTTATGGTTGCTCAAAATATGTTTAAGATACAATAGTGGGTGTGTTCAGTTTAGCATGTCACAAAATCAAATTTTATATGGGCTCTGTAATATAAGAAACGGGTTGAGATTGGTGCCATAAATGGAGTTGTAGATGCATATGCGCTACTCGAACACAACTATCCACATGAATACTCTCTAACAAAATTTTAAGAGTTTTACTAAAGAAAAGTAAAAACTTGTTAAAAGATCTTAAAATGACATAAATAACCCCGAACAAAGCCATGTGTGAGGCACATGACTTATTTTGGATGGAAAACTTAACGGAGTAAGAGTGAGATGACAAATTGATGATTTCGACAAGTTGGTATGATAAATTGCTTAAAATTTTAGTTTATATGACACATTGAAAAAGATGTACAAGTTCATATTATATTTCAAAAAAATTCCTTGGAAAAATTATGGTCCCTACGTCCAACCAAATAATAAGGTTTTTGATGAGATAATGCATGCCAACTTGAGCATTATAATGTTCATGATTTTGTTTGAGTCTATACATATATTTACTCCGTAAACGTAGATTAGGTCGGTTGGTAAGCCATTGTATCTGTCACGTTTTTATATTTAAGTTTAAATTATTCTCTCGTAACTCGTAAGTTATAGCTTCTAATACCGTCTTAACAAAACTAAATATACTTATTTTTAGTGGGATATATTTTGCTTAAGTATGCATGTTTGCAAGATTAAATGAAAACCTCCAAAACGTATGGGGTTAAATTGAATTCTAACCACCACCACCACCCCCATATAATTAGGGCAAAAGGCGAATTTAGGAGGGCTCCTGTTACAGCCCATCCATAATTTTTTTTTGTTAAATGTGTAACGATCAAAATGCCCTTAGAGGGTATGTGTCGACTTTCATTAACTTACTGGACAGGTCACGTGTGACATATTAATTAGTATATTCTGACAGCATTCGTTATTATGAATGACTGATCATAAGCATAGCGAAAATTAGAACTAGAAGCAAGATTTTATGAAATAGTATAAATCATTTTATTTAAAGTAATGGAAAAGATAATAACACTAGATATAAAATATGAATGATAGAATAAAATAATTTTTAAAAAAAAAAGATGAAAAGATGAGAGGTGGAGAAGGATCGGGAAGAAACGAAAAGAAGGGAAAAGTGGAGAAGGGGGAAAGAAACTTTTCTTCTTCTTCCTTCTCCTTCACTCACGGTATCCCTTTCAAACTATTTTCATCATAATTTCCTCATACGATAACGAAATCACATGAGGTGGGAAGCTATAGTTTCGTAGCAAGGCCGTCTTCAATCTTACCATACCCACCCTTTCAAAACCATTGTATAAAGAAAACGAGGTCCAAATATATTGACGTGTTATGGCGACTTTTCTCTGATTTCGGGCAATCCCACTGGAATCTAGCTCGACCCAAGTGAAAATAATGATTTTCCCCTCGTGGGCTCTCCTCTAGCGTAAGCATTTTTCCAAGGTTTTAACTTTTAGTTTTGGGGTCAATTCATGGTTTCGAATTTTAATTCGATATTTTGTATGCATATTTGAGATGATGCTTGTTGTATTGTTTAGGAGTTGAATCGGAACCGGGTAGTCATGTTTGGTTGCATATATAAGGAAGAACATTGAAATCCTAACCTCAATTCGATTCTCTTTAGAAATTTAAGGGTTGGGTTTGTGTTATAAGCATTAATGTTATTCCATAATCGAGGCCAGATACGTTGGAATATTTTGTGTGCCATATTTGTCCTACCCTTTATGCACTGAAAAGAACATTGCTGAAATTGTATGTGTTGCAGCCTAGGTTTGTCACGCCCCGATCCCGACATACGTTCATGATGGACACGTGACGTCATCAAATAACCATATATCTAACATACCCGTCTTTGGGATATGTACCAAGCACATCCCATACCTCGAATTGCGTAGTCATTTTTTTTTTGTACACTTTATGGCTGCATCTAACCTCCCGTTAGACTGCCTACGTACCCTCAATAGGGATCAAGCCATTCGTAGTTCGTCATTCACTAATTTAGACATTTATTCTAGTACGTTCTAACAGGAATACGTAGCATTCTGTAATTAATTATTAGAACTTGACATGCATGACATTACCAAGTTCAAGGCTACAAAACAAACCAACATGCCATTGTCATTCCACAATCTTGTCAATCGATCAATTCATAAATCAAAGATACATGATCTTAGCATTTAATTATGTTAATCAATGAATGCAATAACATGTCATTTCACAAAATTAACCAAGGAACTCTATATAATTTCCTACTTGGATTATGAGCAATAACATGGTAAATCTATTTTATATTCGCAAGGTCTATTGTGGATAACTCTCATTCATTCGAATCTAGGCTTCTAGACTAACCTTATGGGAATGAGCAAGAGCAAGGATTCCGGACCACTCAACAGAATCCAACAACACTGAGTTTCGGACCACTCAACGAAACCAAAATATCAAGTGGTTTCTTATAATCTATCCAGGCCTGTCATATGTAAAATCAGTGCCAACATCATGGAAATGGTGCACCGACCAAACAGAACTCGGATAAGCTGCGAAGCTCGGGTGAGTGACAATAATACAAGTATGTGATAATCAATAAAAACAAAGACCATTGATCAGAGTTTATAAACCTCAATATAAGTTCGTAAATATAAAAACATAGTCAAGTCTCTAACAACTCTGAATGAGTCATCCAGACATCCAACGGCTTTTCCCATTCAAACCACCAAGATTCTCAAAAACCATCATTCATATGTACATTAAAAACTAGGGCTAGAGGGATGTAGTTCAGCCGAAGCCTACATAAGTAACCAAACACGAAGTGGCCACCCAAAGCGGATTAACCAAGCAGAGCCACCCCTGAGAAAGTAACCAAGTAGGCAATGACCCTCCAATGCGGATTAACCAAGCAGAGTCACTCATATAGTTGTTAGGAAGTGATCACCCAATGCAGATTAACCAAGCATGATCACTCATAAGCATACATGGCCATAAGGATCGCCCAACGCAGATTAACCGAGCGCGATCCACATATAGTATGGTCCCCCAATGCGGATTAACCAAGAAGGACCACTAGTGACCCCCCCAATGCGGATTAACCAAGCAGGGTCAAGATAATTAGGTAGGTAGTGACCCCGAACGCGGATTAACCAAGCAAAGTCACACCTACAGAACTGTTAGGCAGTGATCACCTAACGCGGATTAACCAAACATGATCACCCCTAAGTATAAATGGCCATAAGGATCACCCAACGCGGATTAACCAAGCGTGATCCATATATAGTATGGTGCCCCATGCGGATTAACCAAGCAGGACCATCGATATACCATTGCTCCATGGTGCAGGAAATTTAACACATAATCTACCCACAACTCAACCCCTATGGGTTACAACGTAGTCACTACACCATCAACTTCTCATGGCCACCAACTAATACATCACACAATCATATAAATTCTACATAATACTTCTAATAGGATTCTAAGATCACATAGTCATAGCATTTATCATTCTTATCATTCACATTGCTAAAAAGAGATAATTAAACACACGTATATTACAATCATCAATACACAAGCCAAATCACGTATAGCTAAATATATATATATATATATAAAAAATCACATTTCAAAAGAAATTACATTTATAAAACCAAGTCATATTCACAAATGATATTAATATAAGAAATTAAGGTAATAACCATATCACATATATTCAAATCACTCTCTAACCAATGGTTCACTAGACTTCACTTAGTCTCCCGTAGTACCAATTTTAGTATCCAAAACGTTTCGGGACATGTTGACCAAAAGTCAACTCTCGATCAACGGTAGGGTTCGCAACTCCACGTAATTCAATCCGAAAGATCTGCCGATCCGATTTTGGATCCGTAAGTTCTTAGGTCCTTATTATTCTCATAGAATAACATACTAAATTCTCATTGAGATCCGACGGCCGGATCTCCGCCAATTTCTAGAATTAGGTGGCGGTCAACAATAAGTTTTACAAACTTAGAAATTCAATTCGGGAAAATCCGTACTTCGGATTCCCGATCCGTCAATTTCTAATGTCCTAAAATATTATGTGTTATAATGCACTAAAGTTTGGAGACGATCCAACAGTTGGATCATCAATTCGTATAATGATCAAGTGATGTATCATAATGAAACTAGGTTCAATTAATCAAATCACATTATTCGGATATCAAATATGAAATTAGGGCATCTAATTGGACTTAGAAAGACATCATCGGTCCACCGCCGCACGCGCCGCCGCACACGGCGGCCTGTCGTCCCAACTTGCAGGAAAATTCAACTAACTCCAAAAATTATCAAATTTTACAGGCAAGTAGATTTCAATAAGAGGAACAACTTTCATACCTGGTCCAAAGTCCAATTCAGCCGGGAAGTGGCCTGAAAACTCCTCCATCAGCCAGAACCCTAGAAATTAGGTGCGGTTCAATTCAATGTCAAACTCAACTCCACCGCCTCCAATGTTGATTGGGCTTTGTTCCTGGACTCTAAAGACACTTGAGGGTGGTGATGGTTGACGGAAATCCCTTCGAAAATAGGCGGATCGCCGTCATGGCTTCGGAACACCCACTGTCAGTTCTTCACCAAATTACCCTAAATTACTTCGAATAGGGAGTGGTGAGATAAAGCTTGGGCATGTGAATTCGGTCCAATTTGATGGAAATCCAATGGAAAACCATCAGAAAATATGGTGGAACAAGTCGGGTGCGCGGGTCAAGGGGAAACTCGATTTCCCCCTCATTCTCTCCTTCCCTCATTTCCCCTTCTTTCTTCCTCCCTCATTCGCTACCTCCTTTCTCTATCCTCCTCCCCTTGGCCGAAACTCTCCCCTTTTCCTCTTGAAACTCCCTTCTTCTTTCTTTTCTTCCCTTTTTTTTAATTGGCTGCTGCCTAACCTTTTTTTTTTGTTTAAATCTGATTGGTCATTTCCCTCTTCTAACCAATTGGTCCTTTAACCCAAATATCGGTATGGGCCTCTTACTCACAAAGTGGGAGATAATTAATTCCTAAAATCTATAGTATCACAACTTTAAACGTCGGTAATTATACTGTTATAATCCGAACTCGCAAACGGCTTTCGCTTGTGCGTTCATGGGATCGAGCTCTATTCAGAAATATAAATTGTGACCTCGAAAGATCTACGGATTTTAAATAATTAATTTCCAAACTTCAAACTTCGTAACTGGTTTAATTAAAATCTAAATTCAAATAAATTACTATAAATTCCCAAAAACAACATAAAATTTCAATAATAATAATGCGTGGATTATAACAGTGAAATCCGGGAACGAGATTTCACAAGGTTTGTGCAGTTAATTAGAGTTCTAAAACTACTGAATGGTTCTTTATTCTTCCCATGGCATATTTATTCTTCCCATGGCATTGCCAGATGTTGAATATTTGATTGGACAATGTTATTATTAGAGTATTATATGACTTTTGTTTTGGCTGTGGATTTATTGGTGGTTCTTTATTTCATTCTTTCAGCGGATGAAGAGCTTAAGACTGCTAGGAATTTACATTTTTATTTTGAGGCACTTGAATAAACAATTTGGTTTTTCTATAATAATAATTAAGGATCATTGATGGTTGGGCTAGTGTACTAGTTACGAATAATTATATGAATGTTATAGTTTATGGATTGCATGTTATTCTATGGCCTGAGAACTAGTTCCTTGGTTAAGATTAATGGATTATCAAACATTATACATATTCTCTAATTGAATACATTACTATGTTTATGAGTTCAAGATCAATTTATTATGGCTGGTATAGATATCAATAGTTGACATATCCAATTTGGTGTGGTTACTTTTCGTTTAAGTATTTCACGCTTATACGTATCATGTTGTTTGCTTAAATGATACAATGGATGTCCTATTAGGTGTAAATGTCTACATGCATGCCTATTCTGAAACCAAAATCAAGTTGATGGTTCATGTTTTGAAGTTATATATATGTGTGAGTGTGTGTGTGTGTGTGTGTGTGTCTCATATGCCTAGACAAGCTATACAAAGAAAGTATACCGTTTCTATTAGTTATTCTGATTACATGTACGTAGTAATGACTTGCAGTGGTGATATGAGTTTATTGAAATGATAAACCACAAATGACTTGATCCCTTTAGGGTATGTAGGCAGTCTAACGAGGAGGTTAGATGCAGCCATAAAGTATACTAAAATTACTACGCAATTCAAATCTTGAGTTATGCTTTGTACATATCCCGGAGGCGGGGTATGTTAGATATACAGATACTTGGTGACGTCACGTGTCGATCCTGGACATATGTCGGGATCGGGGCGTGACGGCTCATTTCAATCATTTTGTACCCCTACATATTATTGTGATTCAATGAAGCTCCCCATTAAATGAATTGCACCAAATAGGGGAGGCCTTCGCGGGATCTCTGTGTCCGAAGCCGACAAACACAGAGATCCAAACCACTCATTTTAAATTATATGGTTCTTATTAGCTCATTCTAATGGCCTTCCTCACACAAACCACTGAGTTTAGATCTCCCTCTCTTTAACTACCTTGGATATGGGGTCACTCTTTAACCACCACCACCCACCCACAACAAAAGTACAACTATAAGCAAAGTTGTATGAGGGGTCGCTCTAAAATTGATCTTAAAATTAAATAGTCCGTCGTTCCAAAAATTGTTTTGGCAATATTGCATTTAAAATTATCTGACAATATAACATTATTCCGAAAAAAATTTGTATAAATTATAAGTTCAAACAAAAGACACTATATAGCTTATTCTTGACTATTTTAGGTGTATATATACTCCATTGCTGAAAATTCTACTATGCTCATCATAATTCTTGCCAATTGACCAGGCAATTGGGTTAAATTACCTTTGACCAAAAATATGATGGTCCGTCGATGCCAAATTGGGCAGGCAATTGTTGGGCTCCAAGAAGCTCGTTGAACTACCCTTGCAGCCCGTTGGCAATAAGTAACGACGGGCCTGACGTCAAGTAGCTGGAGGCTGACCTTAACCCCGTGCACCAATGTTGAACCAAACAGCTCTAATTTGGGCGCCCCACAACTATTGGATTTTCAACAATTTGTTGATCCGGACTATTAAATTTCAAAAGATACAAGTAATTTAAAAGATGATGTTGTGCCACGTGGCACTTTGTGGCGCATTTGATATTAAAATTTTGAAAAATTCAACGGTCAGGATTAATCCCACGGTAAAAAATACAAAAAAAAAATTAGAAAAAATTTACAACAAAAAATATCTAAAAAAACTTTCAAATTTCACACTTAAACAAAAATCTGAGCTGATATTACTAATAGATAAAGACACGTGGTGCGATGAAAGTGGTTGAAAATGGAAAAGTATCCTCTCCGGCTCCCTTCCACCAAATCCACCAAGTTCAAAGATCCGAGTAATTTAAATTTGATCAAACGGCTACAAACAAAGTTCACTATAAAAGTTATAATAGATTTGATCAAATTTCAAGGGCCGATCCGAACTTGTGAATTTGGCGGAAGGGATCCGGAGTCATTTCTGTTGAAAATCTCATCGCCTCTCCTTTCAGCCCTTCAAGGAAAACCCACTTCTTGGGCCGTCTTCAACCACGTAAAGCTTCACTCTTATATTAGTTTCGGTGTTTAAAATTGTTGGGATTTGCAGTTTTGGATTGAAATTTGTGTTTTGGGATTTGTTGGGTGCTCGCATGTGTTAATTTGGAAAATTTTAGTTGTGGATTATGGGGAACTGATGTAATGGCGATCCCGTTTCATGTAAGTTGCTTTTGTTGATGTGTTTTTGGTGAAATAATGACGAGGAGGGTTGGATAGTTTGGCTGGTTTTAATTTTTTTTTGTGAAATTAGAGTGGGATCAATCAAGGTTGAGACTTTTTAAGGTAAGAGTTATTGTGAAAGTTATGTTTTTACAAATTTTTGGGCAAATTTTGTGACTTGGTGGATTTGGAATTTTGGTTATATTAGATATATGTGTAAAGAAAATAGTTGAACTGCATGAAGCTTGAGGGGTAATGAGGGTTTTAGGTATTTAGTGACATTCAGGCCATGCTTGATGTCTATTTGATGTCGGTGTATCGGAAATGCTTGAACAAAGAAGAAAGGTGCTCGAAGAGCTGCAGTAGTTAACTACTTGGTTTGATTAGATTGCTATGTTAATCAAAATGTCCCCTGTAGTATGTTTATAGGGTTAAAGTTTTACTTTAGCGTTCTTTAGCGACTTGGTTTCAAAAGTTCACTTTCCTTGGTCTGTGAGGCCAATGGTAGAATGATCATGGAAAAATGAAATTGTTCTGTCTTAATTTTGTCTGGTAAGAGCGGGTATGCATTCTTACAGGACTCGTTTGTCATTCTTTTAAGCTGTTTAATGTGCTCATTTCAGTATGCATCATCCAAAGTCTTTAACCGCTCAAAGTAGCACTACAAGGGCCAGGGAGCTATCATCTGTTTGTAAATAAGAGCTATAGACATGTCCTATAAGGTCAATAGGTCTCAGTTGCATATCTAACTTGTTTCTCATGTGTTTTCATCCTAAAGGTTAGAAAAGGTGGGTGCTCTAGACACGCAAGGAGTGGTTCATCAACACCAAGGGATGGCGGCTGATCTCATGTATGTGGTTACATGCTGGAGTTTTCCATGTGCTTGCCAATATGCTGAGTCTTGTATTCATTGGAATTCGGCTTGAGCAAGAATTTGAATTTGGTAAGCATCTGGATTTTTAGCTTCATGTATGTTATCATGCATGTATGGCCACATCCATAAGTGATTGTAGTAAAAGATAATACATATATATATATATATATATATATATATATATATATATATATATATATATATATATGAGCAAAAAGCCGTCTCAAAGAAGGAGAACGAAGCTTTAATCTCATTGGCTACTACATAATGGATAAAAAGGTCGTACCTAGTGCACAAGGCTCCTGCTTTACGCAGGGTCTGGAAGAGGTGAATGTCGGCTAGCCTTACCACCATTTATGGAGAGGCTGCTCCCAAATCTCGAACCCGAGACCTACCGCTCATGAGCGAAAGCACTTGCCATCGCACCAAGTGCGACCTCTAGCTACTACATAATGGATGCATCAAAAAAAAAATCCACACATATATGACATTAGCGTAAAATTATATGAAATGGGTTCAGTCTAAAACTTGTAACAAGCTAAGTTGTACATTTCTTGAATTCATCTGGCAAAAGGCTAGTTCTGTCTTAGCTAACTTTGTAATATACTTCTACTAAAGCATGCCAACAATCTAAGTTTAAGTTCCTATTACTACTAAGGCATTCCATCTTTCAACTCTAAATCTTAAGAATAATCAGAAATCCACCAACTTTAAAGATATTTGACCCTCCCACAACATGGAATTGATGGTTTACAAACACAGTATCAAACAGAAAATAGTATTGCATATGAACATGATTTGAACGAAATAGGAGCCAGAAGAAAGAAATGCCCACCATCCTGTCATGAACTTTTTTGATGCCCAACTTCTAACAATTTTGGAAAACGTCTGCACAGAGATAAAAAGAGATTAGAATGATTGTTATGAAGATTAAGAAAAAGGAGCACAAACACTCAAAGCATCGGAAAACTTATGCCCCAACTTAGGCCACCAAAAAGTAACAAACTTTGACACACTGTAACCGTTTCTTCTTCTCCTTCCGATTCAGAGTGTATTATGCGTCTTGCCTAGTTGTATTATGTTGAAAAGTTGGACTGGGCATTCATATGGCTTCCCTTTCTCCGGCCAAAACCAAACAACAGCTTGCTCATCCCCTGCAATTAAAATACAACAAAAAAAATCAAAAGAATAAGTTAAAATTTAAAATCTCATCTGGGTACGTTGGGTTCGATATTTTATCAATTGTTGTTTCTGAGTTGTGTTTTTTGCGGATTTTCACAACCAAAAATAAACCTTAATACCCAGACCTAAATTCTTGTTCGGATTTTATTAGATTTTTTATACCGTATAACTTACCAATTTCCATTGTGTTTGAGAAGATAAACTACTTTTGTAAAGAACTTTAGAATTCTAAATTAGGATAAATTGCTTATCTTTAGCAAAATGGATTCTACTGCTATTCTTCACAGGCGACGGTGAATGTTTGGGTGCCGCTGCTGGTTGGGATTGCGCTAGTTGTTGCACACGCGGCGTTGAGGTGGACCGATGGGTTGCCGTGGACAAAGAGAGCTCTGCGTTGTTGACTGGTTATTCGGCTCGATTATGCGAATTCATGGATTTGGATGAATCAGTGATGGCGGTGGTTTGGGTAAACTATTTGGAGAAACAATTTACAGCGTCACACGGTGGGGAAGCATCCAGAAATCAGGTGGGTCGACAGACTGAAACGGTGGGGCAAGGAAGAATTCAGAAATGAAGTAAAAGACCAAAGAATAATAAGGGGGTGTATTCAATTATTGGTATTTTAAGAGCTTTTAATTTTTTTAATGAATATAGGGTGTATTCAATTACGATTTTAAAAAGGTTCACAATATTACAAATGTATTCAATTAGTATTTGATTTTAAAGAATTTTAGAAAGTTGAGTAATTATAGGAAATTTGAGAGATTTTGTAGTATATTTTAAGCATCTATAAATCTCTTATCTTCCCATGAGATTTCAAGGTAATTAAATTAAAATTTTACATAAAATCTTTACAAATCAATTAAACTTCATAAAAATCCATGAATTTATAAACCTTTTAAAATCTCATCAATTCTCAATTGAATACACCCTTTTAAAGCAGGACTCAAGATGGAATCTCATTGTACAATATACAGTAACGACAGAAACAGAGAAAGAATAAAAATGGAATAACACTGTAGAATAAACAGTGTTTTAGGCAATTTTCTCTTTTAGTGTGTGTATATAATTTGCATAGTATGTAACACTGAGAAAAATGACACGTAATATAACAACAACAAAACACTAAGAACTACTAAATCTTATTCTATTATGCATGGGTTAGCCGTATAAATTCTAAAATTTCACTAAGCCGGTTTGGTGATAAGTTTTTCGTTACCATCGTACTCCATATCTTTCTTACCATTTCTTCCCAAATGTTCTTACTTCCTCTACCCTCTGAACTAACCCAAGAAACATAAATTTTTTTTTTTTTAAAAAACCCCAAAAAGTAGAAAAAAAAGAGGCAAACTTCAGAACCCATTTCATTCAATTTTTCCCACATTTTGATTTCGATGAGATTCGAATCAAAACCCAAATGGGGTTTCTGGGTCTGAATCCAAATTTTTGATTGAAGACAAAAAAAACGAAAAAAGGGGAGATTTTTATGGAGAGAGGCCAACCTGCTGCGCCGAGCAGCTTAGAGATAAAGGTGGTGAGTCCACGGCGGAGCGACAACGTTGTGCACCCGGCGGGACAGCCTCCGGAGACGACGACGCCGCGGCAATCGTTCAGCGACTACAGCCCGTTGAAGAGGTGGGTGTCATGGCTGGTGCCGTCGATTGTGGTGGCCAACATTGTGGTTTTTGTGGTGACCATGTTCGTGAACGATTGCCCCAAGAACTCCGACACTTGCATTGGTCGGTTCCTCGGCCGCCTCTCCTTTCAGCCCTTCAAGGAAAACCATGTAAATTTTTCACTCTTTTATTTGTTGGGGTTTGGAGTTTTGGATTGAAATTTGTGTTTTGGGATTTATTGGGCATTTACATGTGGAAATTTGGAAAATTTTAGTTGTGGATTGTGGGGAACTGCCGTAGTGGCGGCGAGCCCGTTTGTGTGTTTTTTGGTGAAACTATGATGAGGAGGGTTGGATAGTTGGATTGGTTTAGTTGTGAAATTAGAGTGGGATCAATCAAGGTCGAGACTTTTTTAGGTAAGAGTAATTGTGAAAGTTATGTTTTTACCATTTTTTAGGTAAATTTTATGACTTGGTGGATCTAGAATTTTGGTTATATTACATATATTTGTAAAGAAAACAGTTGAACTGCATGAAGCTTGATGTAATTCTGCTTTTAATCAATGTTGGACTTGGGAACCCTAGTGAATATAGAAGTGAATCTACGATTAGTTGAGAAACTTAAGGGAGCTTGACGGGTAATGAGGGTTTATGTATTTAGTGACATTCAGGCAATGCTTGATGTCTATTTGATGTCGGCATATTGGAAATGCTTGAACAAAGAAGAAGGGTGCTTGAAGAGCTGCAAGTAGTGAACTACTTGGCTTGATTAGATTGCTATGTTAACCAAAATGTACCCTGTAATATGTTACAGGGTTAAAGTTTTACAGTAGTGTTCTTTAGCGATTTAGTTTCAAAATTTTCGTTCGACTTTCCTTGCTCTGTGAGGTCAATGTTAGAATGATTATGGAAAAATGAAATTGTTTGTCCTAGTATCTCTGGTAAGAGCGGGTATGCGTTCTTCAAGGACTTGTTTGTCATTCTTTAAAGCTGTTTAATGTGCTCATTTCAGTATGTGTCATCCAAAGTCTATAACTGCTAAAAGTAGCACTACAAGGCCGAGGGAGCTATCATCTGTATGGAAATAAGAGCTATAGACATGCCCCATAAGGGTCAATAGGTCTCAGCTGCACATCTAAGTATCTAACTTGTTTCTCATCTGTTTTCATCCTGAAGGTTAGAAAAGATGGGTGCTCTAGACGTTCAGAGAGTGGTTCATCGACACCAGGGATGGCGGCTGATCTCATGTATGTGGTTACATGCTGGAGTTTTCCATGTGCTTGCCAATATGCTGAGTCTTGTATTCATTGGAATTCGGCTTGAGCAAGAATTTGGTTTTGGTATGCATCTGGATTTTTGGCTTCATGTATGTTATCATGCATGTATAGCCACATCCATAAATGTTTGCAGTAAAAGATAAAGCACACAACATAAATTGTAGAATAATAAATTAGTTACCAAGTGCAAAACTTCTTTCATAAATCTAGAAGAGACACTTTCCGGATGGTTTCATCTACCTTGCGATTAATCTACAGAGGATTTCTCTGCATTTGTTTATTGAATTGTAATCCTAGAGTAGTGGTCATGTAGTGCTGGTTGCATTATAACTTTCACCAGTATGTTGCTAGGTTTGATGGAAACAAGAGGACGTTTTATTCAGCGGTGAGCAAAGAAAAGAGTTTATACACCGAAGATGGGGTTCAAACTTTAGTTTTAGACATAGTATTTCATTTTATAGAATAAAATTGCTTGAAACAAAAGCTGAGAGATTATTTCAGTTTTCCATCACATCTGTGGGAACAAGGATTGTTTTGGATATCCAGTACATGTAGACATGGTTCCTCATTTTGAAATGTTTCAAGATGCCGTCTATTTGAAAAGATTGAAAAAATAATAGTTTGATGCTGATCTACATCATGTACGGTTGTTTTGATGAACTGTTTTAACTAATTGGTTTGAAATTCTAATTTTTTTTTTATTTGTTCTTCGGCAGTTCGAATTGGTTTCCTATATTCTCATGTCTGGTTTTGGTGGGAGTTTGCTTTCAGCTCTTTTTATTCAATATGGTATTTCTGTTGGTGCTTCTGGTGCACTTTTTGGTTTACTCGGAAGCATGCTTTCAGAGCTCATATCAAATTGGACAATGTATGTAAATAAGGTAAATAAAGTTTCTGTATACTCAACGATGCACCTCTTTATAGTATGTGCACGACCCTTTGATCTTACAGTTTCAGATTTCAATCCGCAGTTGGCAGCATTGCTTACTTTCCTTTTCATCATCATAATAAACTTAGCAGTGGGAATTCTACCACACGTGGACAACTTTGCTCATATTGGAGGATTTGTCTCCGGATTTCTTCTTGGATTTTTTTTTCATTTTGAACCAAATGTTACAAATTTCAATCAATGCTCTCGAGTCTTGAACCAAATGTTTTTTCATTTTGGATGATTGCCAAATGTTTCCAGAGAGCTTCTGAAGTCAAGGTGCTTTAAGGGTCTTGGTCCTTGGCGTACCGAAAATGCCAGACAATAGGGCCCAGTAGTGGAAGTAAGCTAGTGAAGTCGTCTAAAAAAACAAGCCAAAGTTGTTCCTCCTATGATCCTATCCTTGCTTTTCAGTGCAGTGTTCGTTTGCTGTAGGAGCTCCCTGCAGTCGGGACTCGGAGGGAATGCGACGGATAGGCTGGCGCTGCTTGCCATCAAAGCTCAAATAAAGCAAGATCTCCATAATTACAACGTGATGAGCTCCTGGAACGAATCCACGCACTTTTGCATGTGGAATGGTGTGACGTGCAGTCGACGACATCGTCAAAGGGTCACTACCCTAGACCTGCAATCTCAAAATCTGGTAGGGAAACTATCCCCAAACATTGGAAATCTAAGTTTTCTAAGGGAGCTGTGGCTGTTAAATAACAGCTTCAGTCATGAAATTCCTCCACAAATTGGGAATTTGCGTAGGTTGCAGGTATTGCGATTAGACTTTAACTCGTTTAGTGGCAGTATTCCACACAATATATCATATTGCTTCAACCTTATCCATGTGAATTTCACTCGCAACAAGTTGGTGGGTAAAATTCCTTCAGAAATTGGATTGTTGTCGAAGCTGCAAAAACTTGCATTAGAATATAATAATGTAACGGGACAGGTCCCTCCTTCCTTGGGGAACCTTTCGTCTCTCCAGGGACTAAGTCTTCTTAGTAATAACTTGATGGGAAACATCCCTAGTTCTCTTGGCCGGTTGAAAAAATTAACCTTCCTGGGATTGGGGGTAAATCAGTTGTCTGGTAGCATCCCTTCCTCCATTTATAACCTATCTTCTCTTGTTACATTTACCATGCCATTTAACCAAATTCAAGGGAGTATTCCATCAGATATTGGCAAAAATATTCCTAATCTTGGATTCTTTAACGTCCACAAAAACCAACTCACTGGGTGCATACCTCACTCAATATTCAATGTCACAAGTGTTTTGGGTTTTGATGTTGGGAGTAACAACCTAATCGGACAGGTATCGAATCTCCAAAAGCTTCACAACCTCCTGCATTTCAGCATTCAAAATAATAATATTGGAAGCGGTAAAGATGGTGACTTAAGTTTTCTCTCGGACTTGACCAATGCCACCCAGTTACAACGGTTGTTTATTAACAACAACAATTTTGGAGGGACATTGCCCATGTCAATATCCAATCTCTCAACCAAACTTGATATGTTTTGGGTTGGCGGTAACCAAATATATGGAAGCATCCCATCTGGGATAGGGAATCTGGTGAGCTTGGAATCGTTGTATTTGGGGTATAATAGCTTCACAGGTAACATCCCCTCTGACATGGGTAAGCTGTCAAACATTGGAATATTAGATATTTCCAATAACACATTATCAGGAAATATTCCGTCTTCCATAAGAAATTTAACCAAGTTATTCCGTCTTGCGTTGCATAGAAATCATCTTGAGTGCAGCATTCCTTCAGGTATGGGGGAATGCCATGGGTTGCAATTGTTGAATCTTTCTTATAACCTCCTAAATGGCACAATACCCAAACAAGTTTTTAGACTCTCCTCCTTATCGATTTCTTTGGACTTGTCTAATAACCTCTTCACAGGTTCCCTTCCCTCGGAGGTTGGGAATTTCCAGAGTCTAAGTGAACTGTATCTTTCTGATAACATGTTATCTGGAGAACTCCCCAGTAGGCTTGGTGGTTGTGAGAGTTTAGAAGTCCTGCATTTGCAAGGAAACTTCTTCAATGGGGCCATTCCATTGTCTATGAGTTCAGTGAGAGGGATTCAAGATCTAGACCTTTCTCGCAATAATTTTTCAGGTGAAATTCCGCATTTTTTAGAAGGCTTTAGATTCTTGAATAATTTGAACTTATCCTTCAATCAATTTTGGGGAGTGGTACCAACTGGAGGTGTTTACAAAAATGCGAGTGCTATTTCAGTTATTGGCAACACTAATCTGTGCAGCCCTGTTGCTAATTTAAGCTTCCCAAGTGCAAGTCTATAGAGACCAAGACACAAAGATTGTATCGTAGCTTGAAACTAATACTCCCTTTAGTATTTGGACTTACTCTTCTAGGAATAGCCATGGTGTTCTCCTATTTCTTTCTTTGTTCGTCAAGGAAGAAAAGGAAAGAAATTTCATTGAGCACTTTGGGGAACACTACTCTACAAGTGTCATATGCTGCTCTACTCAAAGCTACCGACGGGTTCTCAGAGGCTAATTTAATTGGTGCTGGTAGTTTTGGGTCTGTGTACAAAGGAGTTCTTGATGAGGATGACAAATCTCAACTTGTTGCCGTGAAGGTGTTTAACTTGTTACGCCATGGAGCTTTAAGGAGTTTCATAGTCGAATGTGAAGCTTTGAGAAATATTAGGCATCGAAATCTCGTCAAGATTATAACAATGTGTTCAAGTGTTGATTTTCATGGTAATGATTTCAAGGCTCTAGTTTATGAGTTCATGGACAACGGGAGCTTAGAGGAGTGGCTGCATCCACCTATTGAAACTGAAGAGTTAAGAGACCATGTACCCAAGAAGTTAAGTCTTCTTCAGAGGCTAGAAATTGCCATTGGTGTTGCTTGTGCACTGGATTATCTTCATAATCATTGTAAAACTCCAGTAGTTCATTGTGATCTTAAGCCAAGCAACGTTCTCTTGGACAATGAATTGATTGGCCATGTTTCTGATTTTGGATTAGCAAGGTTTATCTCACAAGTAACAAGTAATGTTTCAGCAATTCAGAGTCGGACAAGTTCTGTTGGAATAAGAGGAACAGTTGGTTATGCAGCTTCAGGTATATATATGTTAGATATGTACTTCATTATATTTCCTTTTTTATTTTGGAGTATTGAATTTACAAAATTCAAAATGAACTATTTATACACAAATGTGATGTTTGAATTGTAGAGTATGGCATGAGGAGTGAGGTGTCAACGAATGGTGATGTCTACAGCTTTGGCATTCTCTTGTTGGAGATGTTTACACGGAAGAGACCCACTGACAACATATTTGGTGATAGCTTGAACCTTCATAATTTTGTCAAGATGGCTCTCCTCGGGCGAGTTACTGAGATTGTAGACGCGCCACTTCTTCAAGGAGGCACAAACGAGAATCCCAATCAATGCAACGCAAGAATTCATAAAGTTGAGGTGTGCTTGGGTTCAATATTTAGAATTGGAATTGCTTGTTCTGCTGAATCCGCAACAGATCGACTAAAGAATATCAATGATGCTGCATCTGAACTTCATTCCATTAGGAATACTTTTCTTGGATAGAAACTCTTTTTTATGTGCTTTTGTGATAGAGAAGTTTCGTGTGAAGGGTGTATTACTACTTTTATGTACTGCCTGTGTAAGTCTAGCTTTTATGTTACCACAGTAGATGTGGAAGTTTGCAATGTAAATAATCACCAATGAGGTTCATTGTGTGAAGAGTGTATTACTACATCTTGTACTTGGTATTTTTGTGTAAGATTCACATCGATTTGTTTGGATCAAAACTTAAACTTTGGGCTCGAAGGAAGTTGGCCCAAAGAGCAGCCTAAAGGGGAGAGGTACTCGAAGGCCCAGTCAAAACCCAGCCGAAGTCCAGAAGACAGGAGAAGCTTGTTTCTGACTAGGTGCAGGCCATGCAGACCACTTGCTCACCTACCCAAAGGCCAAGTGGTATAGACCAGCCAGCTAATCAGCCCAAAAAGTACTTTTAAATGGTAGTACAAGTAAATAGCTGATGAGTCACTACCCTTCAAACTGCATTCGGGCAAGGTTGTTGCTACCGGAGGCCAAGCCAAGGTGTCTATAAAAGGAGAAAGAGAGGTCAGAATCAAGGACACTCAAACAAACAAATACAAGCACAAACTCTGCTCAAAGCCAGATTTGCCTTCAAAACTAAGCTGTAGTCAGCCCAAGCCTTCATCCATTTCGGGATAAACCTTTTGTAATAGCTCTGCTACCCTGTTCAACTCTTGTTGTAGTATCGATTTCTTTTGTAAACTCACCTCCCAACCCTTTTTCTAAGCTTTCAAACTTTCTGATAAACCACAAAGATAGGAAGTTGCAAGACGATCAGCCTTGCCTGACAAGGTTAAACCTTGCCCAACCCTCTTTGTTTTTTTTCTTTTCATTCATTAGCCTAGCAATATGTTGTATACTACAAGTTGTATCCCAGTTGTTTCTAGTAATATGGCTATTAAAGGACTCTCTCAGCACTTGAATCCGATTTGAATATGTCTTCACAGTTTAAGCCAGATTTAAGTTCTAAGTCTTCGGGCATATAAGATTTGATCATTCTAAAAGTCCTTGGCCTCAAGGCATAAAAAAGAACCTGATGTGGACTTAACCCATCCACTACAAGCTTTGATAACAAGAAGTCCGAAGTTACTTGGGGCGCAAGTAATCGACCTGTCACTTAGTTTTATTGCTGTTATATTATGATTACCATATAGCGTCCGAGGACAGGATGAATTCTGATGGGAAGCCTCAAGGCCTATTCAAGGCCCCACAAAGGCACCTATTTGGATTCATCCTATTTCTCGGGCAAGAACATTGAGTATAGAAGGGGTTTTGATGGGAAGCCTCAAGGCCTATTTAAGGCCCCACAAAGGCATCTATTTGGATTCATTCTGCTCTTTGAGCTCAGGTAATCAGAAGTATGATGGTTATAAGACCCATATAACCAAGAAAAGGAACCTTATGTGTTCGAGTACTAAGTTAGTTATTTATGGGAAGCCTCAAGGCCTACACCTAAGGCCCCACAAAGGCACCTGTCAATAACTAAACTTAGTCTCTCGAATATATAATTAAACTCAAACATCCGTTCTACATCTGCCATGCTGAAAATGGCAGTGGCACGCCTGAGCACTTAAAAGTTAATTTTGATTGTGAGCCTCAAGGCCTACACCTAAGGCCTCACAAAGGCACCTTTCAAAGTTAACTTTGTCATTCTCTTTCAGCCTTGCCCGACAAGCCCGCCAGTAAAGCAGGAGCCCGACATAAAAGCATCAACCGGCGCCAACCTCTCGGGGAGCTGTGTGCTCGTCGGACAGGAAGCATCCCCCACGGAAATTCCTGCCACGAACACGATTAAAGTCTAGTTAGGGCCACGAAATTGTTGAATATTCACATTGACATATTTGAAATTTTTGAAAGATTCATAACCTCAAAACCCTCAACGTTCAATAAAATCATCTTGGCAGCTGTAAGATGGTGAGTTGAGTTTCCTATCAGACTTGACCACCATCAGTGTTAGATTCTGCAAGGGAATTCCTAATCTCAAGCTGCCCTATTGCAAGTCTAAAGAGCTCCAAGAAAAGAAGATTAGCTTGAAATTAATAATCCCTTTAGTATTCGGACTTGATCTACTTGCAAGTGTCATATGCTACTTTCTCAAAAGCCACTGATTGGTTTTCTTCAGCTAATTCGACTAGTGTTTAACATGTTATACGTCATGGAGCATCAAAGAGTTTCATAGCCGAATATAAGGCTTTGAGAAATTTCAAGCATCAAAATCGTGTCAAGATCATATCTACATGTTTTCTCGATGATTATTTCAAGGGTCATGTTTATGAGTTGATGCACCAAAGGAGCTTAGAGGAGTGGTTGCTTCCCCTCCTGTAATTGAAAAGGTAAGAGATCAATACATCCAACAATTTAAAATCTTCTTCAAGGGCTAGATATTGTTATTGGTGTTGCTATTATGCACTGGATTATTTTCATAACCATAGCGAAACACGAATAGTTCATTATGATCTAAAGCCAAGCAATGTTCTTCTAAACACCAAGTTAACTGGACATGTTTATTGAAAGTAGATTAATATCAGACTGTTACTTATATGAACTCCTCCATATAAGTGAAGGGAATTGGGTTCAAGTTGGTTGGTTTGGTTAATAGGGTTTGCAAATGGCCATCTTTTGTAGAATTTTAACCCCAACTTTAAAGCCCATGGGCTATGACAAATCAAGGTTTTCTAGCATTGTTGCTATCAATATTCTCCCATGCGCATTCTGAAGTCTATTCCAATGGTTTTAGCAGTCGTTCTACTAATCTTGACAATGAACGAGTTTTTATTTATTTTTTATTCGAGCAAATGATATTATCTACACTAAGAGGAAGGGGATAGTTTTAGTCTTATAATGGGCTAACAATAATGTGGTTTAAATTCGTCTTTGGTGAGAAACGAACCCAAGACCTCTCACTTACAAGTGAAGAGAATACCACTAGACCGTAGTACTAAGTGGCATGAAAGAGTTTCTATTAAACCCGCAAAAATGAAAATTCTCAACCATTCATTAATGGATACTAACAAATTTTTTTTTAGTACAAAGATATGTCACGATAATGTAACTTATAGTTGTGTCACTGACCTTTTAACTTATTGCCCTATCTTTAACTCACTCCAATTAATATCGTCCTCTAATTGTTAGTATCTAATGAATCTCATCATAAATTGTTACCCAATATATTAATTATCAAAGCAAATAAACTTGATTGAGTTATAAATTTATTGTGACCCAATTGGTATGGTTAGTAGAAAAATCAATTTTGTTCATAATTTTCATGTCTTCCAAGTGAACATGGGGCTATAAGTGAAGTTCCAAAGGTTACGGTGGTGTAATTTGGTCCATGAATTGTCTCCTTCATTTTGCATGCATGCGGTAGGTTACTGACTACCAATAATTCTCGTTACCAAGCAAATTAAATACCATTAATTAAGAGCTTAAAAAGTCTTTAATTATTACCTCTCTATTTTGCTTTAGCAATTAGGAAATTTTCCCCTTTTGCGTACAATATTATAAGAATATTTGTGTTCTCCACACTCAAATGATGGTGATGCTTACTACCTTATTTATCACTGTTATATGAGTTTAGTACCTTGGATAGACACAAATCTCAAAATTTAAACAAATACAACGGTAACAAATAAGGTGGTAAGCATTACCACCACTTGAGAGTGATGACTAAAAATCTCCCCAATAATATAAGTAGTTAAGTTTGTTGGTGTGGTAGTTGGTCTTTAGCAAGCTTCTTATAGAAAAGAAGAAGCATTTATTTGAAAAGATTCAGACTCCTTTTGGATATAGATAAACAATGGCTTGTTAAAAACCAAAATGATAAGGCATTCAACATTCAACATTCACCTAAAAAAAATGATATACATGATATCCATCAATGTTTTGGTAACAAATTCCCAAATTGCTCTATCTACCAAACATTTGCAGATCAATAGTTACAGAAGGTCACTTTTATGATATTCAACCCAATACCCACATTATTGGCAAAACAAACATTGTATAGATCTTTTGAGTACCCGAGCCAATGACAATAACATTGACGGCAACTACAAAAAATTTACATTATATAAAGAGGCAATCTCAGAATCAAAATTGTCAAAATCCATATTTGATGGCATTTTTTCATCAGTCAATCAATACACACATAACACATAATCACAAACTCGATAAAAATTCAAACCCATAAATCCATAATTAGCAATGTTTTTTCTTAACCCCCAAAAACAATCCAAATCTTAGTGGTTACATTCCTTAGTCAAGCACTCAACCACTTGGGCACATCGACTACAACTTGGGAATGTTACGCAAATCTTAGGCAGCTTGAATCATTAAATTTGAGTTGGAAGAAGCTCTGTTACCTGCTCTGCTAGTTGAGGAGTGTCACCAAATTCGGCACTATCATCAGCATCAACACATTTCACAAACTCCCACTTCCAAAACATTTCACAAAATCAAAAATCAAATGAGTTTATGTAGCAGAAAAGATTGACGGAAAAATAGACTAGGAAAAGCAATTAATATTAAATAGAGGATAAATGATGTTGTCCAGTAAATAAGACAGTTGTATATATTTCTCGACCATGAGAAAACATCAAATTAATAGAGGCATTAATCCTAAGTTTGCCATTCATTGTTGTCGGTCTAAACTTGATGACATATTGTAAAGTCCTCGTACATACAGATTCATGAAATATTAATTTATTTCCATGAGTTATTTGATTTTGCAAATTCAAAATAATTGAAGAATACTGAGAATTACTAAACATCCAAAGATAGCATTTGTGAATTACTATCCCATTTGTGAATTACTGTCCTTCTAAGCATCCAAAGATAGCATACCCAAAATACCAAATTCAACTCCAATATAATAAAAAATTAAAAAACAAATTAACCAAATTGGGATAGTTAGATCAAATAAAGATTTACGTCAACCAATTACACAAAATAATTCATGCAAAGTAGGCTCCTAAGAAAATATACCACTA